TGATGGTGGAACATCTTTCTACATCTGATGGTGGAACATCTTTCTACAGCTGATGGTGGAACATCTTTCTACGTCTGATGAGCAGAGCAGAGAGGAAAAAGCTGTACATGTTGATTTGGAGGGGATTTTTCTAATCGAGAAATGATTTATGGCGCTACAACTTTGTTTTTCTTGACAGACGTTTTTTTTTTAACTTCTCTCTCGTTGTGCTGTTTCCATAGATTTTATATTTGCAGCGAAAAATGAACCCACAGTGAGCGAAAATGAGACAAGAGCCTGGAAATATCCAAAACTGCTCAGCCACGGTGCATTCAGAGTGGACAGGCAATCAAAGTAATGAGTCAAATTAAGCATTTAGGTACCAACTTTTATTAAACAAATAGGTTCTAATCTAATATTAAGCTGCTAAACTTCCATTGAAGTGACACCAGCCGTGCTTCCACCAGGGCTGCTCGTACTTTTTGCACATTTTTTTTATATTAGAAAAGTTTAATGGAATTTCACAACATGTTGACACCTGCTTGAGTTGGTTTTTGACTTTTTTTCTAAAGAATTAATTGCTTAGTTGATATAAGTTCTGATGCAGTGAACTTGTTCCGTCATTTTCATTTCAGATTAGAAACAATTCCTGAAGACTTGGCTCCACTTTTCAGAGAGAATCTCAGAGTTTGTCGTTCTCGTTCGACAACAGTTTCACACATTCGTCATGTATTAAAGGAAGGCAGGTTCTCACCACGCCGAAGTCCAGGTTCTGTTCGATCCACTCCTGGCCGTCCTTGAACTCGTCGTGCAGACCCATGATGTACAGAGTGTCCAGAGCGTCCACGATGGATGCACCCAGCTGAGAATTACCTGGACGGGAGGACGCAAGCAGGATTAGACATTTACAGAAAACCTTTGGGAATTTCAAGTTAAATACAGAAATGGCTCAGATGAATCTCTACAGATGGAATTAAAACTGGATTCAGCTGCACGTCCATCGCAGACACACCAACAGAGTCACTGGAGAAAATAAAAAGGAAAGAGCTGCGAGTTGTGCAGAAGGTTGATATGAAGAGACAACGGCTGAGAAGAATGAGCTTCAACAGATGTAATAATAGTCTGAGGAGCTGCTACATCAGGTGACTGGTTGAAAACTTTAACTAATTCACACATATCAACCTCTTCTGATGTCCACTTGTATCACCTGAAGAAAACTGGCTCCATAAATGGCAGTTAAATGAATTCGATATGACGTTTTAAATCATTACAATTTGAAATCAACTTTACCTGAAATGTCACGACCATGAAATGTGTCCATTTAT